TGCATTCATGCCACATTGTTTTGCAATTCTTTTCATTTTAAAGATACATTTATCATCATATTATTAAAATGTCTATCATATCTATTATGAGATAGACATAAAGTGATGTCACAGTGACGTGTTAAATGCTTTCAATTCTTCTCATGTTAAAAAAGCATTTACATGTATCATCAAAATATCAAACTATCTATCATATATTATGAATAAGACATAAAGCGATGTCATTGTGACGTTGTAAATAAGACAAAGGAAATAAATTCTGAATAACCACATTGATGGGCACTTATTACAAATACGAATTAAAGAAGCATCCGTTTAACATTTAAATTGTCGATGCAGAAAACCAATCAAAGTAAACATTTACTGAACCATATGAACATTTAAGACTTATCTGTGGTACTTAAAATTCAAAACAATTTAAAATAGAACGTGTCTTTAGTGTTCCGTATTATGTAGATAAATTGCACAAAATGAAAGGAGGCTATAAAACCGCTTATTACGTTTGAATAATTAATATATGGTCCTCTATACATGATTAGATCAAGTTTAAAGTTCATTTTAAACGATAAAAAAATCGATAATTTTTTGTAAGATAATTTACATATGATTGACATTAATTCAAAGTCACAAGTATCTTCGCAATGGTAGCCAAAATATTACAGTTGGAATCTTGTACATATTGACATGGAATTGGTAATATTTGAGAGAGCAGCACTAACGTCTTTGCCTTCTTTGTATATTTTTATAATCTAACTGATACATAAATAGGCCACCGACATATAAGTGGCTTAGATTGAATTGAAAGATATAAGAACTGCGGGGATCAAATATCACATCCTAATTAAGGTATTCAAAATTCATTACCCGTTTTAGAAGGCAATCACGATGAGATATTAAAAGAATGTCTGAAATTGGAGATTCTATAGTTGTCATTTTTGTCTTCAAATCATATCGACTGCTTTCACTAACAGCAGCGAGGTAAGATGCATATTGATTTAGCGTCAGAATTCCTGGTTATTTGATATTAATATTGGTGTTTTTCTTCTTGTGAGTTCTCTCTCTCAGAAATTAATAAGAGTCTTCTTTCAGAAGATATTGATTCGCTTCAAGTACATGAAGGTAAACCAAGAATGGTTTTATCTATTTGCGTTTCACGCTCATGCGGGTTTATTTTAACGTTCAGGTTGACGAAGGGGAAAGGAGACAGTATTATAACTTACATGTACCATCGTACGGGGTATATCGTTATAGATTCAAACATCAGAACAGGATTAAACCAGAATAAATGTATTCTCTAAGATTCATCAAACGTCAACAATGTTGTTGAAATCTCACTACAAGCTTTATTTATAGCAATGACATTTTTCAGTTTAGTCGGGATTTTAGGGAAAGTTTAGTTTTCACTTCATTTTAGAACTAACAAAATAGCTTAATTGGTGTAATCATTTGTTTTTATATTTTAGTTCGAATTTAACCGTGAACGTGGTCTGACTTTACATCTGTAACAGTGGCAATTTTCTCTATGTTTTTTTTATCTAACGGAAGGATTTGTTTATAAGAGTGGCAATTGTCAGTGTGCTGAGAATCTAAAGGGAAGGTTTTAATACTACAACAGTGGCATTTCCACTGAGGTCGGAAGCTAAAGGAAGATGTATTTATATCAATGGTAATTTAAACTGTGGTTTAAACTAACGGATTTTTAATAAGGAGCAATAGTAGTAAATTTTATATATTGAAGTGTTATTTTTCAATAAACTTCAATCCGTATATTGTATATTCATTGAAAACAAAAATTGTGATTTTGTTTTAATTAAAGTTTGGCATTAGCCTATTATTCAATTAAATGCTGTTAAACCCAATTTGGTCTATCATATTCTCAATATATTTCGTATTTTAGATGTAAAGTCATCATTTAGAGTCTAAATATCTGTTAAAATATTAATTACAACAGAAGAGTAAAAAAACATTTTTGACAAAAATCTCTATACAGAAAACCCTACCGAAAAGAGTTTGTACATGCTTCGATTGGATCAAAATAAAATGATAAATGCGTAGAGAAATTTTATGAAATCAATATCAGATTGGAAAACCTCATACTTATAAGCCCCTGGTCGGCCAATAGTTATTCAGTAATTGAACTGTAGTTTGCAAAGTTAAGATCACTTGAAGAAAGATAGATAACTCTTCCGGTATTAGGAAGACTCTACAGGTTTCACCGAGTTTTTACATGTGATAAAGAGAAATTGACGATGATTAAAGTTCCAAGCTATATTTTAAGAAAATTATTAAATATGAATATGTTTCGTTTCTTTATAATAAACCTCAGATTTTCATTACGACTACCAAAATTCGTTTTATTCAGACTCTTGAGTACTAGGCGCGATTTCATCATTTGTATTTTTGTTATTTTCGATAAACTGTGAAATCGATCCGCATTTGAATAAATTATAAATTATACAAATTTCATGGCATGCATCCTGGTAGAGTAATTTCAAAATGAACAGAATCAATGCAACAAAGAAATCAGGCAAAATAATGAAATGCAATTTCATAAACACATATAACAATTACACAAAAATAAAAATAGAAAAGTATTTATAACTATCAAAACCTGTTGCTGGATTTGATGTTACGATGCACATGTCTAAAGATACTTATGTTGTTTTCTACCGAAAGTTGACTATTACTAAACAAAAGTAGTTCTAAATTAAAATCAACATGCAAGGCATTCACATTTTGGAACAGGGCGTGTCTTTCGTTGTTAAAACGTAAGCAATCACATCCTTTCCTGCCCGATGGTCCTCACATTTTTTCTGCATGGTCAAAATATTCGTTTTGGAAATCTCTGTCGTAATGTATAGACGAAAACAATAAAAGAGTATTTACGTGTCAACAAAACCATTGTTTGAAGTCAAAATCGATAAAACAAAGGCAAAACATGAATAAAGGAAACACTAACATGGAGACCTTTGAAAAAGAACAAGAAGAATATTACCAGGTGTTCCAGAAGAGTAAGCGTCTTCTGCTTCATCGACGACACACGCCATGTAAATCTAGGACAGGTCCTAGTCATGTCATGTTCTCACATCAAGATTTAGGTAGTGGCGAACTAAACCACAGGGCACATTCCAATGAGAATAGTAGAAAACATCGACCTTCATATCACACAAAGATATAGCGTATTCCCCAACGACGTCAAGATGGCGACCCTAACACTTGTCCATAGGCTTTCCCAACTCTGTGTGGCAAGTTTGTCTATTAGCAGTGGACAACTCTCACGGAAGCTATGGTATTCAAAATAAGCACTTGAATACAAAATCATTTGCGACATGGATACCGAATTGTACTGTTCGAGTTCTCAGGCGGATGTTTACGATTCTTTGCTTAATATCATGATTAAAAGGAATCTTTTTAAAGAAAATTTGTAAATTATGAAAAATATTTTGACTATTTTTCATAGCGCTTCCTATTCCAGAATTTTGCTTATAATAACTGTTAAGTTAATGCCTACTTGGGCATTACATGTTTAAACTCAACATTGCAAACCCAAAAAGTGCTTTTTAGAGGTTCAATTGCATTGATCTCCGCATATTTTAGCACCATGTACACCGAACGGTTTATAATTGATTTTCATTTCTAGTTTTGATGGTAATATCTTTTATGAATTTATGAATTTATTTGTATTCTTTCACTCTCAATAAACAACATCAACAACAACAACAAATAAAATAAAATACAAAACAAAAATTTAGTTAACCTGAATCTCTCATTTCAAAAATAGGCAGAGATGTGTAAGATTTACATTTATTCAAATACATTTTAATTTTTTTCTAAGATTTAATGTGTTCTTCAGAGCCGATTGTGCTAAATAAAGATTAAGCTTACCCCTTTTGAGTGGGCCGATAAAGCATTACAAAGAGTATATAAACAACGTAGGACTCGAATTAGTATTTGTCAGCTCAATTCCAATTTATTTTAATTTATTTTCCTTCGAAATCATTTAATTAGGAAATATTCAATTTTGAAATTTTCGCTTGGTAACGAATAATTAAACTCCAAATTCTAATGTTTTGTTTTCAGTTATAGTTATTATGATAGAAAAATCACCGAATCAAATTTCATGCAAACGTATAATTAAGCTGACAAAATACATTGACATTTCCAATAGATAATATTTAATTAAATATCTTGTTTCTTTCTTTAAGAGCATATATTGGGCCCGATGTATACATTTCAAAGAACTATTGAAATGTCAATAAAGGAATACGTTAACTAAGGTTTGTTTCCATTTGATTTTTTGTGTGTTTGTGTATGTGTTTTTTGTGTTAGTTTGAGGGAAAAGGGGGATAAAGATTAAAACAAATCTGTACATTTTTAAGTTTGCGATTGGTATTTGAATTTATGGATACAATCCATTGTTTAAAATACAACTGACACTGTGATCTATATAACGTTACTTTAATTCTTTATATATAAAGTGGTTAACAGACATGAGATTATTCGATATACCGAACGGCCAATTGCATAGTTATTTATGCTGTTAGCAGTGTTTATTAGACCATATTGACATTATTCATTTCGAAGGCGGGATGGATAGTTCGTAAATAAACTTTGAAAAATTGGAAGTGTATCTAAAATATTGTCAGCTTTTTTAATGGACAGATTCGGGTTAAAATGATTTAAAGGTACGGGTTTGTCTCCTGATAAACTCTTTACACTGATCGTCAGATAGATTTGTAAGGTGTACTATCTAGCCATAACGACTGTGTCGACCCGTTCACATATTTTAAATTTAAATAATGTTTAATGTTTGGTCGATGTTAATACTCTATGTGTGATCAAGGCGGTCAATAGAGCATGAGATTAAATATAGTGAACAACGATGTGATGACATAAGTGTTAAGAGTATTTATGATTTACAAATCCTGTTCAAATACTTTCAACTACACACGCATATATATAATATACCCATATGCTTATACTCGCACTTGGCCGTCGGCTTCTGTTGGTATGGTATACACTAAGTATCGACACGGACGGCGGATCCGGACATAACTGAGTGAAGGTATTGAGCGAGTGTACTGTTTAAAATCTATAGACTCTAATGGAAAACTGACACTATACTTCTTCATGATGAATAGCAAGCACAAGGAAATTCTCCAGACACATCGAAAGTTTCTAATTAAGAATATAATATGGACAGATGAGCTATGCACCCGATTACAGGGGGCCTCTCTCCTGCCGGATTCTACTGCTAAGGATATAAAGGTGAGTGGCCGATATCATAGATACCTATATACATAAATTCATTCAACTATTTCTGTGGAGACAGCAAAAGGAGCAGGAAACAATTGATAGGCTACATTGGGAAATTATCATGATAGACAAATTTAATAGCATTCGGGTGATTATATACTGGAAGCTATTTGCGAATTGTCTGTAAATAAATTTGATTAGATTATGGACTAGCGGTAGCTTTAGGCGGGTGATCTCACCAGTCTTAAGTTTTCGTATGCTGGTTTGATTGCAGTTTAAGACAGACAGGGATTAAAGACAGGTGGTCTCTGTTGCAGGTTTGACTGTAGTTAAAGACAAGAGATAAAGGCAGGTTTGTCTGTATTTATAGACAGATGGTCTGTGAGGCATGTTTGATTGTAGTAACAGACATATGATTTCTGAGACAGGTTTGACTGTAGTTATAGACAGGTGGTCTCTGAGACAATTTTGTCTATAGCTGTAAGGCAGGTTTAACTGTAGTTATAAACACGTGGTCTCTAAGGAAGGGTTGACTGTAGTTATAGACATGTTGTCTCTAAGACACGGTTGTTTGTAGTTAGAGATAGCTGGTCTCTCAGGCAGGGTTGACTGTAGTTATAAACAGGTGGTCTCTAAGGAAGGGTTGACTGTAGTTATAGACAGGTTGGCTCTAAGACAGGGTTGTTTGTAGTTAGAGATAGCTGGTCTCTCAGGCAGGGTTGACTGTAGTTATAGACATGTTGTCTCTAAGACACGGTTGTTTGTAATTAGAGATAGATGGTCTCTCAGGCAGGGTTGACTGTAGTTATAAACAGGTGGTCTCTGAGGAAGGGTTGACTGTAGTTATAGACAGGTGGGCTCTGAGACAGGTTTGTCTGTTGTTACAGACAGGTGGTCTCTGAGGCAGGTTTGTCGGTAGTTATAGACGGGTGGTCTCTGAGACAGGTTTGTCGGTAGTTACAGACAGGTGGCCTCTGAGACAATTTTGTCTATAGTTACAGACAGGTGGTCTCTGAGGCAGGTTTGTCGGTAGTTATAGACAGGTGGTGTCTGAGGCATGTTTGTCTGTATTTATAGACAGATGGTCTCTGAGGCATGTTTGATTGTAGTAACAGTCATATGGTCTCTGAGACAGGTTTGACTGTAGTTACAGACAGGTGATCTGTAAGGCAGGTTTAACTGTAGTTATAAACAGGTGGTCTCTAAGGAAGGGTTGACTGTAGTTATAGACAGGTTGTCTCTAAGACACGGTTGTTTGTAGTTAGAGATAGATGGTCTCTCAGGCAGGGTTGACTGTAGTTATAAACAGGTGGTCTCTAAAGCAGGCTTGACTGCAGCTATAGACAGGTGATCTCTAACGCAGGTTTGACTGCAGTTATAGACAGGTGATTATCTAAGACAGGGTTGTTTGTAGTTAGAGATATATGGTCTCTCAGGAAGGTTTGACTGTAGTTAAAAACAGGTGGTTTCTAAGACATGTCTGACTGTAGTTATAGACAGGTGGTCTCTAAGACAGGTTTGTTTGTAGTCATGAACATGTGGTCTGTAAGGAAGGCTTAACTGTAGTTATAGATAGGGGGCCTGGGGTAGGTTTGACTGTAATTACAGAGAGTTGGTCTCTAAGACAGGTTTTACTATAGTTATAGACTGGTGGTACCTAAGACAGATTTGACTGTAGTTATAGACAGGTTGTCTCTAAGACAGATTTGACTGTAGTTATAGACTGGTGGTACCTAAGACAGATTTGACTGTAGTTATAGACTGGTGGTACCTAAGACAGGTTTGTCTGTAGTTACAGACAGGTGGTCTCTGAGACAGGTTTGTCTGTATTTACAGACAGATGGTCTCTGAGGCATGTTTGATTGTAGTAACAGACATATGGTCTCTGAGACAGGTTTGACTGTAGTTACAGACAGGTGATCTGTAAGGCAGGTTTAACTGTAGTTATAAACAGGTGGTCTCTAAGGAAGGGTTGACTGTAGTTATAGACAGGTTGTCTCTAAGACACGGTTGTTTGTAGTTAGAGATAGATGGTCTCTCAGGCAGGGTTGACTGTAGTTATAAACAGGTGGTCTCTAAAGCAGGCTTGACTGCAGTTATAGACAGGTGATTATCTAAGACAGGTTTGTTTGTAGTCATGAACATGTGGTCTGTAAGGAAGGCTTAACTGTAGTTATAGATAGGGGGCCTGGGGTAGGTTTGACTGTAATTACAGAGAGTTGGTCTCTAAGACAGGTTTTACTATAGTTATAGACTGGTGGTACCTAAGACAGATTTGACTGTAGTTATAGACAGGTTGTCTCTAAGACAGATTTGACTGTAGTTATAGACTGGTGGTACCTAAGACAGATTTGACTGTAGTTATAGACTGGTGGTACCTAAGACAGGTTTGTCTGTAGTTACAGACAGGTGGTCTCTGAGACAGGTTTGTCTGTA